CCTGGTTCCCTTCCGTGACAGCAAGTTGACTCGTGTGTTCCAAGGCTTCTTCACAGGCCGAGGTCGTTCCTGCATGATTGTCAATGTGAATCCCTGTGCATCTACCTATGATGAGACTCTTCATGTGGCCAAGTTCTCAGCCATTGCTAGCCAGGTGAGAAGCTGGAGGTGTGATGGTTGTGCTCACTTTGGGCTGGTAACTTTTTTTTCAAGAAAGTTCCTAGGGACCAGTTATGGAGTCAATTAAGATATTCTTTTCCCCTCTAGCTTGTGCATGCCCCATCAGTGCCACTGGGATTCCCATCCCTACATTCTTTCATCAAGGAACACAGTCTTCGTGCATCCCCCAGCTCAGAGAAAGGGACTAAGGCAGACCCAGGCCTTGATGATGACGTTGAAGATGAAGGTGACATTTCCATGTATGGCAAGGAGGTGAGAACTTTAGATTTGGTGCAGCAGTTAAATAGCTACACATTTTCCGTGCTGCCTTCCAGGTAGGCTTGTGCCTCCTTGGGGCATGGGTATCTAATGGCCTGACATATGTCCCCTCTAGGAGCTCCTCCAGGTGGTGGAAGCCATGAAAGCATTGCTTTTGAAAGAACGACAGGAAAAGTTGCAACTGGAAATGCAACTCCGTGATGAAATCTGCAATGAGATGGTGGAGCAGATGCAACAACGGGAACAGTGGTGCAGGTACTGGCTAAGTGTTCCCTCTTGCTGGGAAGTTGGGACTTGGGTGGAGTTGTGCCTCCAGATCTCTTCTCCAGGTTCACTCTACAGAATCTTCACTCCTGTTTTCTGACAGTGAACATCTGGACACCCAAAAAGAACTATTGGAGGAAATGTATGAAGAGAAACTAAAGATCCTCAAGGAGTCACTGACAAGTTTTTACCAAGAAGAGGTTCAGGTGAGTTGCCTTGAACCAGCCCCAACTAGCTACTTAGATTTCTATCACTAGCTTGCCTGAGGTCAGCAGGTCTTATTGCTCTGTAAGGACAGGACTATATAACTCACTTTTCTGTATTCCCTTCAGTGTTTTGTAGATGTTTGCTCAGTCTACGTTTGATGAATTGATTAAAGGTTTAGTTGGTCAGGAAATGGCACACATGCTAACCTGTCTTTTTTTTTTTTTTAATTTTTAATTTTAAAGATGTGGGGCACAATTCAGAGTTAGATATACAAATGCTCATTATACAGGTACCCTTGTTGATGAGGTGTGCCCCCACCCCACAAACAGGCTTTCAAGGCGTAAGTGCCAGGAAGTACTTTGTTCATTTGCTCAGTCAACTGTTCCTGCACAAAACTGTGCTGTTTCCCTCTTAGGAGCGGGATGACAAAATTGAAGAGCTAGAAGCTCTGTTGCAGGAAGCCAGACAGCAACCAGTGGCCCATCAGCAGCCAGGGTCTGAATTGTCCCTACGACGGTCAAAAAGGTTGGCAGTTTCTGCCTCCACCCAGCAGTTCCAGGAGGTTAAGGCTCAACTACAACAGTGCAAAGCAGAACTAAACTCTACCACTGAAGGTGAGGAAGAGACAGGAAGCCTAACAATGGGAAGAAATGTTACTCAAACTTGGGTCCCCTGATTCCTCCTCCAACATAACTGTGAGCTACATTCCCGGACCTTTCACTCTAGGATGCACGTGGCTTTGGTTTTTATATTTGTTGTAAGCAACTGCTACCTCAGCTAAAGGGATAAGTCCACAGCTAGAAAACCCACATATTTCAGTTTCCTGTTTCCTTCCCTCAGAGTTGCAAAAGTATCAGAAAATGTTAGAACCGCCACCCTCAGCCAGACCCTTCACCAGTGATGTGGACAAGAAGTTAGAGGAAGGCCAGAAGGTAATTACCTTTATCTGTTACCAAAGTTCTTACCTAAGGCAGTTTCCAGCATCCAGCACTTTATCACTGAGTCATGAGGACAAGATGTTTTTGTGCACAGTCCTGGAGAGTGGCTATTTCATTCAGCTGACTAGCCTTTATTATTTTGTTTCTCTTCAAATAGTCACCTGACCCCTCTAGATCATTATCCTGGCTTATTTTGGCCACAATCCGATCCCAATTTCCCCTTTTTCAGAATATAAGGCTTCTGCGAATGGAGCTTCAGAAACTCGGTGAGTCTCTCCAGTCAGCAGAGAGAGCCTGTTGCCACAGCACTGGGGCAGGAAAACTTCGTCAAGCCTTGACAACTTGTGACGACATCTTAATCAAACAGGTTATACCTCTTTTCTCCTACCAGCTCACTCTAGGGTATATATGAGAAGGGAATGAGAACTAGAAGGGAAAGGTAAAGATTTTAGATTGATCTTATAGTGGGGCGAGTTTTTCTTCCTTGTAAAATGAAGATAACTACTCTTTGTTAAGCATTTACTAAGTACTAAGTAATTTAGTCAGTTTCTCTGTCACAACCACTCTAGGGAGGTACATACTATCATATTTCATCTAAGATGCCACTGATTATAAGAAACCATTACCTAGCCAGGCTTGATGGCTCAGTCTGTAATCCCAGCACTTTGGGAGGCTGAGGTGAGTGGATTGCCTGAGCCCGCGGGTTCAAGACCCGCCTGGACAACTTGGCGAGACCTCATCTCTACAATAAATCAAAAACTAGCCGGGCATGGTAGCGTGCGCCTGTAGTTCCAGCTACTTGGAGGGCTGAGGTGGAAGGATCACCGGAGCCCAGCCGCTCGAGGCTGCGGTGGCCGGGAGCGGCCACTGCATTCCAGTCTGGGTGACTGAGTGAGACTCCAACTCAAAAAAAAAGAAACCATTACTTTGTGTTCTACTAAGCAAAAAACTTTTTAAGCTATGACATGTCTCATCCGTAAGATGCATCCTGACTCCAGAGATGTTAAAATGTTAAAGAAAAATGTACATCTTAGACTAAACTCAGCACTTGGTACCTAGAGACAATCTCTTGGAAATTTTTATTTTTTCCATTTTTATTTTAGATTCAGGGGGTACATATACATGTTTGTTACATGGACATAAAAGGGAGACCCAAAAGAAGCCAGAATTATCTTTTGGAGGGCGGGCTCCTTGTAGTTCAGCCTTCCCCTGCTAGTTAAGTGTTCTAGGAACCTGTTGGCCTCAGTGTACCAGCTAGCATTGTCAGAGGCTATATTTAGCTTCAGTGAATTTTTTTGTGGCAAACAGGTGACTGGTTCTTTCACCATGGCAACGCACCTGCCCACACAGTGCTGAGTGTTCAGCAGTTTTTACCCAAAAACAGCATGGCCCTATGCTCCATCCTCCCTATTCCCCTCATCTCGCCACAAGCAACTTTTTTTGTTTGCTTGGATGAAAAAGTCCTCAAAGGGAAACATTTTGCCCATGTGGAAGAAGTGAAACAAAAATTGGCAGAAGCACTAAAAGGCATCAAAATTGATGAATTCAAAAACTGTTTTGAGAAGCGGGAAAAGCATCTCGGTAGGTATACTGCATCAAATGGGAGTACTTTGAGGGTGACTGAGGTTTAAACATGAAAGAATACACAATTTGTTATAAATAGTTTTTTCAGGGAACCTCCCTTCATACTGTGTAGTGGTGGGAATTGGGTCTCCAGTGACCCATTCCCCAGTTAGTGAACCCTAACCCCTCTTCCCATCTCCCTTTGGAAATTAAATAGATTTACTCAAGTCCATACTAGCTTATGTGTTAAATGATGTCCTTCTATTCAGCACTGCTTCTGTTTTGGTCACAAAGAAGATGCCTCCTGTTCAATTGTAAGCTCTGATCTTAATGTCGATCTTTGAAGAAGCAGTTGTTAGTAGTAATGGATGATATACATTACTTTGTCCTCTTCTTTCTCTAATATGCCAGACATAAAATGTGTTTTCTGCCAGGCATGGTAGCTCACGCCTATAATCCCAGCACTTTGAGAGGTAGCGGCAAGAGGATTGCCTGAGCCCAGGGGTTCATGACCAGCCTGGGCAAATTGGTGAGACCTTAAAACCAAAACTTAACCTGATGTGGTGGTACACACCTGTAGTTCCAGCTACTTGAAAGACTGAGGCAGAAGAATTGCCTGAGCTTGGCAGGTCGAGGCTATGATAGCCATAAGTATGCCACCGCACTCCGGCCTGGGTGACAGAGGGAGACTCCGACTCAGAAAAAAAAACGTCTTGTATAATTTTTTTGATCTTCCTTAGGATCAGACCCTGGCTGAACTGCAGAATAACATGATGCTAGTGAAACTGGACCTCCGGAAGAAGGCAGCATGCATTGCTGAGCAGTATCATACTGTGCTAAAACTCCAAGGTCAAGCTTCTGCCAAAAAGCGTGTTGGTGCCAACCAGGAAAACCAGCAACCAAACCAGCAACCTCCAGGGAAGAAACCATTCCTTCGAAATTTACTTCCCCGGACACCCACTTGCCAAAGCTCAACAGACTGCAGCCCTTATGCCCGGATCCTGCGCTCACGGCGTTCCCCTTTACTGAAATCTGGGCCTTTTGGCAAAAAATACTAAGGCTGTAGGAAAGGAGAAGAGCAGTCTTACCCTGAAGTGGGCCAGCTACTCACCTTAAGAAATAGGTCTCTTAGCCGGGCTCAGTGGCTCAGCCTGTAATCCCACGCCTTTGGGAGGCTGAGGTGAGTGGATTGCCTGAGCCCGCGGGTTCAAGACCCGCCTGGGCAACTTGGCTGAGACCTCATCTCTATAATAAATCAAAAATCAGCTGGGCGTGGTAGCGCGCGCCTGTAGTTCCAGCTACTTGGAAGGCTGAGGCGGAAGGATCGCTGGAGCCCAGCAGGTTGAGGCTGTGGTGGCCGGGAGCAGCCACTGCACTCCAGTCTGGGCGACAGAGTGAGACTCCAACTCAAAAAAAAAAAAAAAAAGAAATCGGTCTCTTTTAATCTTTACCATATACATGGAACTCTATCCAGAATGCAATACTCAAAGACACTAGTTATTTTTCTACTTTTGTATTATAACCACTTATGTAATCTTTTTCTTTTTTTACTTATATGGTTTCTATGCACACAAAAAATTATATTAAAAGTTATTGTTCACATTTATTTGAATTCAAAATGTAGCAAAATCATTAGAACATTATAAAAGGGGCAGAAAAACTGAGAATCAAACTTCATCCTTCTGGCCAATGAGACCCCCTTGCACAAGCGTGGCAGTGGAGACCAGTAACTAGTGTACAGCTGGCCTAAGAAGGCTTGGTAAGAAATGAATTCAAGTGGCATTAGCTATTCTAAACCTTCCTTAATATGTAAGATGAAGTTTCGTATGTTAGGAAGTAAATAGGTGACAGATATGTTGTGGGAATAAGAATGGAGCCTAGACCAACCCTGAGCTCGGAATGATACTTAGGATCTACTGTACACATTCATCACAGCAGATACTAGAGTCGTAGCATATTACCTCCTACTGGACACATGCACAGGTGGGAAGCCCTCTAAGAGCACTCCAAGAATGATTCCCTATGCTTAGATAAAGGCTGAAAACATTGTATTGGAGATGGGAGGGAAAAAATAGACAATTGCATCAAAAACTTACTAAAACAGACCAGCTTAAAGTAAGTTTATTCTTATCTGTATAAACACAAGTTATTTTGTCCATTAGATAATCTGTAATCCTGTCTCCTTGCTTTGCTTTGGTAGTATAGCTAATACTATAGCCAGCTTTTGCCCTCAGTAAGGGCCACCAGAAGTTCCAAGCTCAGTGATATTCTTTTGCCCTTCTTTTATTCAACTCAAGTTACTTCCAAAAGCTTTTAGAAGGTCCTCCTTAACACTTTTAGAAGATTATCTCCCTAAAGTAAGGATATATAGCACCACTCCATTTAAACCTAATCTCTGACATCAGAATAGCAGTCAGGCTCAGCAAATCCAAGAGCAAGTTCATTTCTACCCATTGCCCTGACATCCTCCTAGAGTATTCAGTCTACTGCCAGCAGAGGGTAGAGTGGCAGACTTTTCTCCCATGCCTCTCCCGCTCCCAGCAGCTTCCTGTAGCATTGCCTGTGCTAAAGTGCTATAAAAGGGATTTTTATTTCGGGGGCAAATGGCTCAGAGAAGAAGGCCAAGATCTATAGCCAGTCTCTGGACAGAAGTGCTTCTAACTGACAAAAGACAATGTCTGTTCCTGCCAGTATTCTGTCAGTCTGCCTCTGAAAGTGATTATATAAACTGTCCCCATGGAGTTGTTTCCAAGAAGAGCAGAGGTCCTTGAAAGAACAGACGGGACTGTTCTTTACATGTAGGTAAGGCTTTTAAGATGAGTCTAATAATGTGCTGGCTTGAAAGTAGCCAACTACGGTGTGACAGAAGACAAGTTGAGTGGAGAAACTCTGCGTGTGGGAGTGTTGTTGGCAGAGAGTGAAGCAGGAAGGAAAAACGGAGCAGGCATCTCGGTGGTGGGAGTCTCGCCTTGGTTCCGTAGCTGGAGGATTTGCCGGAGTAAGGCCTTACCTTCCTCTCGGGTCTGAAACAAAGTCAGACAAGTGTTTCAAAACATGTCTGAGGTTATTCTCAAAAACAGGAAGATACAGATATACAAGTTCCACAGATCAAGGCAGGCTTTCCACTTACATTTGCATCTACCTTCCTCCCCCAAATCATGATAAAGATCATGTATTCAGCCTAAAATCCAGATCCTTTATGAAAGAACTAACACTCACATCATTGAATGCACAACACTTTTGGGCACAAGTTGAAGCTTCATCCCACAGCTTGCACTTAAAATAGTACTGTGCCAGATAGCGGAAAGCAGTGCTTTCCTCCAAGTGTTCCACGATTTCCTACGGATGGAAAGCAGAATGACTGAGGTGATCATAAAAACACTAGCAACACAATTCTCATGCTATGATACATACCCCACAGGAATAGATATCTTGGATATATTTGATGTAACACTGGGCAGCCTGTTCTGACTCAGTCAACTGTTCATGAAGCCTACAAGGAAATTGGTCTTTAAGTACAAATCAGATCTCAAAGCAAGTTAGTGATAAAAAAGCAAAAAGTACATGATTAAGACAAAAAGTGACAATGTATAGACAAGTACAAATTTTACCATAAATGACACCCTGGGACCTAAAATAATATGAGTGCCCACCAGATGTGATGGTTACTGTTATCAAAAGCTTAGAATCATTACTCTGCTATTAATGATGGAGGGAGAGTTAGTAAATACTTAAGCTAGATAACACATCTTGCAAAAATTATCTGGTAATACCCAGAGTGAGTATTAAAAGGAGACACCAAGTGGCCAGGAGTGGCAGTGCATACCTGTAATCCCAGCTACTCAGGAGGCTGAGGCAGGAGGATCATTTGAGCCCAGGTGTTCAAGCATGGGCAACATTGTGAGACCCTGTCTCAAAATTTTAAAAATTAAGAAAAGATACCAAGCAACTCAGATTTTTTTCCCTCTAACAATCCAGAAAATAACTGGCAGGAATTTAATTGCATTTAAGAACCTTTTTGTCACTAGCCAGGCATGGTGGCACGTGACTGTAGTTCCAGCTACTTGGAAGGCTGAGGCGGAAGGATCGCCTGAGCCCAGCAGGTCAAGGCTGCGGTGGCCATGAGCATGTCACTGCACTCCAGCCTAGGCAACAGAGTGAGACTCCAACTCAAAAACAAACAAACAAAAAAAAACTTTTTGTCTAATATTTCTGAGTTATTTCTAATTTTTCTTTCTTGATCTGGAGATCAATAATGAATGCAGTTTTCCTAGACTGCCCTAACACGAAAATTTCCTTTTCCTTCAATTCATTATTGATCCCTTGCCTAATAGGAAAGCAATTCCCTCCATCAAAGAGAAGTGGCATTCTCTAGAGCCAAGATGGCGAAATTCACAGACCACCCTGCTACAATCCCACACCCAGGTAAGATAGATAGGAGGCCCTAGGAAGCAGCAGTCCCCAGTCTTTTTGGCATGAGAGACCGATTCCATGGAAGACAATTTTTCCAAGAACAAGGGGAACATCAGGCATTAGATTCTCATAAGGAGCACACAACCTAGATCCCTCGCGTGCACAGTTCATATTAGGGTTCTTGCTCCTGTGAGAATGTAATGCCGCTTATGATCTGACAGATGGCAGAGTTCCACTTGCCTGTCACTCACCTCCTGTTGTGCGGTCCAGTTCCTAACAGGTCCAGGGGTTGGGGATCCCTCCCCTAGAGCATGCAGAACCCACCACGCCACAGAAGCCAACAGAAATATCAATAGCATATCACTCCTTTCACTCACTTTGCCAGTTTCACCAGAGCCATTTTCTCCACATCTCCCACGGCGTAAGCTCTCCAATAACACTTAAAAAAAAAAAATTGGTCACTTTGGCCACTGTTCTATGTGCTATGACCAATTACATAAAGGCCAAGACCCTGCAAGATTCTCAGAAATTCAGACTTGTAGAACACGAGACATTTGTACTAGTTCTGATAGGTTCAGGCTACATACTGACATTCCCACTAATGATCTTGGATCAGGTTTGCTTTTAACCTACGAACCTATAATATTCAGACTTTTCTATTCATTTAGATCAGAATAAGGGAAAAATTAGAGCACAGATAACCCATCCTTCATCTAAACAGCAGACTGCCACTCAAATTCTCCAGGACCCAATGTCAGTTACCTTTTTGGCTTCCACTAGTTGGTTGAGTTTCTCATAACATTCTCCTAAAGCAACTAGCATACGAGAATCATTGGGCCTGAGAAAGAAGAACAGGCAGAATAAGCAAAGACAAGTTCTCCCTTGAGGAACCAGCACCACCACTACTTCACTGCTATTTCAAATCTATGCAAGGACTGGTCTTTAACCCAGTGCTTCATATAATGAGATTACTTTGTGTTAACAATTTGACTATTAACTCATTAGTGGAACACACTAAATTAAAATGACCAAACAGCATTTAGGAAGTTTAAACTCAGGTCTCTAAGAGTCAAAACCATTCACTGTGATTTGTCAATAGTTATCAAAAGAGAGAAAAGTTATTAGCTCTTCCTACCCAAAAACATTGATTGTCAAGTGACCAGACTTACCGAAGCTGATGGGCCCGCCTGTAATAATAAAGGCAGTAAAATGGCATCTTAAGGATTTCATAAGTCTGTCCAAGACCATACCAAGCTCTGTAGTCCCGCTTGTTGACCTCAATGGCGTGTCTAAGAAAGGAAAAAGATAGACTATTAAGAGAGCAGAATCAAGGTTAGCAACTTGCAGGCTCAATAGAGGCTCCTAAGACCACAGCAATCTGCTCCACTTCATCCCCCAACAAGATAGCTCACCTATAAGCCTGGATAGCAGCAGACGTGTTCTTCATTTCCATGTACTCATGCCCCATCAGCGTCCAGGCCCCAAGATATCGAGGATTCAACTTCAGGGCTCTCTGGAAATATAAGGCTGCTTTCTCATGCTGAGAACGTAAACTATAATAATTGCCTGATTAAAAAACAAAAAACAAAAATTAATAACAAGAAAGGTAAAAATAAAAGTCCATTAAAACAGCATTCCACCAAGTGGGCATGAAGCCATAACACATTCCCTCTAAAGACCTGGCAAAAAAGTCAAATTAGACCAGATGTAGTTGCTCTTGCCTATAATCCCAGCACTTTGGGAGGCTGAAGTGGGCAGATCACTTGAGTCCAGTATTTCGAGATCAGCCTGAGCAACATAGTGAGACCTTGTTTCTACAAACAAAATTTTAAAAATTAGCCAGGCGCCGGGCTCGGTGGCTCAGCCTGTAATCCTGTGCCTTTGGGAGGCTGAGGTGAGTGGATTGCCTGAGCCCACAGGTTCAAGACGCGCCTGGGCAGCGAGACCTCATCTCTACAATAAATCAAAAATCAGCCGGGCATGGTAGCACGTGCCTGTAATTCTGGCTACTTGGAAGGCTGAGA